CTATTCTATTCTATTCTATTCTATTCTATTCTATTCTATTCTATTCTTTAGTTTGGTGAGATCTCTGTCAATTGTTCCTCAGCTGAGGAACAATAAAGGAAACTATTTGGAAGAATCTCCACATGTATTTCTTGGTTTTGGGAACCTGACACCATCTTTGGTCACAGATAGAGTTGCACCATCAAGATACAGCTGGTGCCTCTCCTGGACATGCAACTCCTGTTTGAGGAGCAGATGGCAATCATGGTCAGGAGGCCCTTTGCAGAACTGCAAGTATTGTGGCAGTTATATCCTTTGCTGGACCAATATGCTCTTCTTACAGTTACTTCTCACTTGAACTACTGTGATGTTTTCTATATGGGGCTGCCCCTGAAGAGTATCCAGAAGCCTTATTTGATCCAAAATGCAGTAGTCTCTCAGTTTTGCACAAATCAAGATTTGCATATTTGTCATTTCTTTTGCCAGAGTCACAATGGCTACCAATTTGGTTCTAGATGCAATTTAAGGTGCTGGTTTTTTCCTTTAAAGCCCTACATGGCTTTGAGTCCAGCTTATTTGAGGAATGGCCTCTCTCCAGTTTCATCTACCTGGCCCACCAGAATGGGAAGGCAAGATCTGTTATGGATCCTATATATTAGGGAAGTACACCCAGAAAAAGAGCCTTATCTATAGTGGCTCCTTTAGGTTATCAGTGCCTCAGAAATAACATTGGCTTTCACTTTGATACTATACTTTTCTGGAAGGGTCATTCCAGTCCTGATATCAGCAAAAATCCATCAAGAGTTATCAGAAACTATCTCTGTGAAGCACAGTGAAAAAGACTGGTATAAAGACATTGGCATTTACAGTATTTGATGCATGTTTGTGTGTGCACACACACATACACACATGTACACACACACATCCCTTATTTAAATGCTTGTTCCTGAAACAGTTGCACACCTGTAATTTCCTACTGAAAGATTAAAACTTGCTCTATTCACACAAAATGAATGTGGCTCTCTATTTTTTCCTTTCAGCTCTTTGTTTGTTTCAAGCACACCTCAATTTTAACTTCAAGTTTTGACATTTAGTTTTTTTACTTTACTTTTTTATTTTAAATGTTAATTAGCTGGTTGAAGGCTGATTTATTCTAACCCCTTGTTGAATGTTAAGCTGATTGTGTGTGTGTTTTACTGCTTTATTATGCTGTTGCAAATCACTTTCACTTTCACCATATGGAAGTCAGGAGCAATTTCCTGAATAGTGAAAGTTATCTGATGTCACTTACATTTCAATCATCTCAACATACATCTCAACAAATAAATGCTCTGTCTTACATATTGGCAAAATAAAATAAAATCAGAAAATAAAATACAGGCTGAATAGTCAAGACCTTTTTGATGATCCAAACTCTGTCAAGAATCTTGGAGTACTCATCTCTAATGATCTAAGTGTGAGAGCCCACTGTAACTACATAGCCAAAAAGGCATTAAGAGTTGTTAACCTAATCTTATGTAGCTTTTTCTCTGGTAATATCACACTACTAACTAGAGCATACAAAACTTTTGCTAGACCAATCCTCGAATACAGCTCATTAGTCTGGAACCCACATTACATATCTGATATTAACACAGTTGAGAAAGTCTAGAAATATTTCACAAGAAGAATTCTCCACTCCTCTACTCGTTGCAGAATACCTTATGCCACCAGACTTGAAATTCTAGACCTAAAAAACCTAGAACTACGCAAACTCAAGGTTAATTGCACCAAACTTGATTGTAGGAAATACGACTTCAGCAACAGAATGGTCAATGTCTGGAATACTCTACCTGACTCTGTGGTTTCTTCTCCAAACCCCAAAAACTTTAACCTTAGACTGTCTACTATTGACTTCACCCCTTTCCTAAGAGGTCTGTAGGGGGTGTGCATAAGCGCACCAACGTGCCCACCATCCCTGTCCTATTGTTTCTTTTATTTTTCTTATATGTATCCATGTGTTCAT